CGCGATGATGCTGCAAGTTCTTGCGCAACTCTTCCCTTCCATGCGTTTCCCGTACATGTCAGGAAAGAGGTTTCCCAGAATGGGCGTTTCGCCGGAGACATCCTCGCAAACATGGGATGCTGAAAAGCTGGTCTAAGACGTATCATGTATCATGCTAATCAAGAGTGTTCTCGCCGCAAACATGCTCGGAAATTCAAAAATGACCGTTTCACCTGAGACATCGTCGAACAAATCGGATGCGCCAAGAGTTGTTTTGAGACATTGTGTTGGAATGATCTCGGATGGCCTCCAAGATGGCTCAAGAAGCGGAGTCCTTGAAAACCCATGGTATTTTCACCACGCTCATTCAAATTCAGCGTTTCGCTCGAGACATCCCCCTTAAAACATGCTTTCGAACGGGTCATCGAATCCCTCAGATCATGATGGACATGCCGATGCAGGTTAGGGTCTGTAGGATTAGGGTTTAGCGGGCTGGGCTTCGAAAGTATGAAAACCATTCGAAGCTGCATGATTTTTCAACATAGTGGGGCTTCACTTGAACTTGCGCGAATAGTGAACTCCACCTGATATCCCCGTGGACGTTCGGGGAGAACGCCTGCGCTACAGTTGATATTGTTGCTGGCGATTTGCTTGCCAAGTTCGGTCGAGACATGTTTCAACTTGCCTTCGGACGGGTCTTCCAGACGATGAGAGTATTCAAAACCAGTGTACTGTTTCAATGTTCTGGGACTTTACCTGCACTTGCGCGGGTAGCGAACTCCACTTGACTCCCCCCGTGGACGCTCGGGAAGAGCTCCTATTCTACAGTCAATTTTGATGTTGGTGCATGTTCTTTCTAAGCTCTTCGGTGTCACGCGCTTCCCGTTCATGGCAGGAACAGTTTATGAAAAATGGCCGCGTCGCCAGGAGCATCCTCAACAAATCGGCTCGGGAAGGGGCTCCGGACCAGCATCATCTCGGAAGCGCTCCCGGAGAGCCTCCAAACGGCCCCAGAGAGTCCCCGGAGAGTTTCAAAACGGCCCCAGAGAGCTTCCGAAGGCCCCCCAAAGGACCCCCAAAGGGCCCCAAGGGTCCCAAAAGGCCCCCAAGAGCCGCCCAGGGGCCCCCCAGGGGACCCCCAAAGCACCCCAAGAGACCACCAAGAGGCCCCCAAGAGCCGCCCAGAGGCCCCCAAGGGCGCCCGAAGAGGCTCAGGGATTGCCCAACAGAGCCCTAAGACATCCCCAGAGAACACGAAGATATCCCAAGAGAGCCCCCACAGACCCTCGAGACGCGCCTGGACAGTCCAAGAGGGTCACAGAAGCTTCGAAGAGGCTCCCACAATGCTCCCACAGAGGGCCCCAGACGTGACGGCTCACGAGATTCATCATTTTGAGCGGGGGGGGTCCCAGTTCGCTCCTCCTCGCACGTGTCTTCTTTCATATCTTCCTCTTCGTCCTCGCGCTTGTCTGCCTACTCGTTGTCCTCCTGCTCCCCTCGCTGCCCTCCCCGTCATCCACGCTGTCACTCGTAATCCACCCAAGGACCCAAACGGACAACATCGGCGCTTCCCGTTCGTGTCCGATCAGGTATATTGATCCCTCTCTCTGTGTTGGTTTGTGTTGCTTAGTGTTCCCCAGCGTCTTCAATTTTGCCCCTCCACTATCAACTCGGTCTGCATCCGCCCATCCGTGAGGATGCCACGTACCGGACCAAGCTGAACGAGGAGCTCTGATTGCGCCCAGACAGTTTTGTACCATCAGCTCGCACATGTAGGTCTCTGAAGTCGAGCGTTCCAGGAAGGGACGGAGGAGGAGGCGGAGGGGCCCGTCTTTTTGCGGGCCGCTGGCAGATCGGTAACGGAGCTAGCGATTAGGCCAGGAGCTGATGTATTTTCCTGTCTCGGGCGGGCGGCAACGGAGTGGGGAGAAATTCACGGGATGCGACGAATCGCAGTGAACGTAAGGGGTCTTTTGGGAAGCGGGTCTGAAGGTTTCTCCCTGCTTCGGACCTCTGCGACCTTCCCAATAGCCCCAGGACCGTCAGAGTACCGACTCGGGATGAACACCTGCTCCTGGGGAAAGGTCCCCTTCCAGAGCTCAGGACCCGCGCCCCTCAGGACCCCCCACACATCCTTTCATGCCAGGAACGGGGGTGAAGAGGTGCGCACCTGCCCCGCGCCTCTGGAACGCGGGGCGGCGGCCCGTGCCCTGTAGGGGCCCCCCCTCGAGGGACCCCCCCCCGCACACCCTACGCCATACGCCCCTCGTTCGCCCCCCGTTGCCCCGGGGCTCCCTTCTGACCCCGTTCGGCCGCCGAACGGGCGCGAGACCGAGCCCACTCGGTGGCCCAACGGACCAGACTCCCACGGCCCTGCTCGAACCGACCTCGCTTGGTTGCTCACGTGGCGACCGAGCGGTCTCAGACGCCGAGCGGGCTCAGAAGGGAACCCTTTGGGGCCGCCTCCCCCTCAGGAGGCAGCTCTCTGGGAGGTATAGTTCAGCGTCGGCGCTGGTAATATCCGTGGTCGACAGCCCACCTAATCCGACAGAGTCCTGTGCGGATTGACTTCATCCCGCGCACCTATTGGGGCGTAATCCGGCTTCAGAGTGGCCTTTATCTGGGCGAACTTGATTTACTGACTCCTGAATTTAGTGCAAGCGCCTGCAATCTTTCTTACGAAGACGTCCCAGGAGTTGCTCCGAACCCCCCGTCGATGTCCGCCCGAGTGTCGGCGTCCGCCGTCGCGCGCGCGCGGGATCCCGGGAGCCCTACTGTCCTTCACAGGGGCAGCAGGCCAGCCCGAAGACATATACCTGGCTCTGGTGTGTCACGGATGCTGCGGCCTGAAAGACGCAGTTCGGGTTGTTGCCAGGGGCGTCCCTGGCCAGATGCGCCCTCAGCTTGTCGCTCCGTTTTGAAGCCCCAGGGGCCCTCGGGGCCTCGCGAGGGGTGTTGTGGAGGACATCTGGCACACCCTGGGGGCACCTTGGGCCAGGGGCGCCTGCTGGCAACACCCGAGCGGTGCATTCCGCCGCGCCCGCCTCGCTCTCTCTCTCTCCCTCTTTCTGGCTGTCTGCTTGCCCCTTCCGCCACAAGGGACAGGGGTGTGGCGACGCGCGCACGGCTGTGGCGCCAGGGGGTGCGGCCTTCTAACAGGCCTGGGGTGTTCTTAAAACGGCAGGGGGCGTCTTTGAAGCCATCCGGGCTTTTGAGAAGCCCCCAGGTCCTTCTGCCTTCTACGAAGCACCCTGGCTCCTCAGAAGGCCACCCCCGCCTCGCCACCACGTTGTGCGCATCCGCAAGAGGTCCTGAGGCAAACGTGTCCCGCCACCATGTTATCAGTTTGTTCTACTCCCAGGTTCCTCCCCTGGGTTTAGGGGCCGTCAACAACCGCTCGGGATGAGTAAGTCCTGGGGGACCCCCCTGGGGAGGCAGGACTCGTTCCCCTCACAACCTCATTCGCTCATTGCACCCCCCCTTCTCTCTCTCTCTCTCTTTCTGAAGACTAGTGTTTGCGGTTCTCGGATTTGGGTTGGCGGTCCCGACGTGAAGCTTGACGGTCGTGAGGTGCTCGCAGCGGAAGTTCGCGTCAAGTTTCAGACGGTCCAGCCATGTGTCCGACGGCCTCGACAGTCGAGTGTTGCCATGCTTGTCCTTGGCTCAAGGTGCGCCCCAGGCTGTTCCAGACGACCTAGATGGCCTCAATCGGCGGCGAGCGAGGGGGGGAATTGAGAAGAATAAGGCCTGCTGAGAAGGCGGCTGGACTTCTCAGAAGCCCTCGCGCCTTTGAGAAGTGTTCTGCGTCTTCGGGGAAGGCTTAGAACATTTCTCATAATGCCTGGGGACCTCCGAGCCATCTCAGAAGGTATTCTCTTTTTCACTTCCCCTCATGGCTCGCCGCCGATCAAGGGCGCCATCACGAGGCCCAGAGAGACTCGGGGGCGTCATGCCGGAGCGGTACGCTGGGGACACCCTGGGCCAGGGTTGCCCCCGGGGCAACGCCCGAGCAAGGCAAGTCCCTGGCCCCCCGACTCGAGCCCTGCGCCTCCCCAAAGTTCGGCGGCGAGCGAGGGTGGGGGGGAGCTAGAAGGTGAAGGCCTTCTCAGACGGCGGCGGGCCTTCTCAGGAGGCCTCGGGCCTTCCCAGGAGTTTTCGGCGTCTTCGGGGAAGACTGAGAAAACTTCTCCGAAGGGTGGAGGGCTTCCGAGCATTCTGAGACGGCTCGCCCCTTCTCACTTCCCCCCTCGCTCGCCGCCAAACAGTCTCTCCAGCGCCCCGGGCGATCGCGGTCAGGGACTGGTCTGGCACGGCGCGTCACGAGCGAGGGCGAAGCGAGGGGGGGCGACGAGGATCCTGCGAGGAGGCGTCGGAGGGGGCACTGCCGCCACAGCTAAGTAAGCACTTGGCGGGGTCCACTTTCACCGAGCGCGTGATAATGTTCGCAAATTGCCTGCTCGCAAACGATCGAGATACACATGAGTGCTTCCATGTAGTGCATCGTGAATCCCTCGCGGCGGGTCCAGGCCATTTGCGATCGGTTACTCTGCGGGTAGTGGAACGCGCCCGCTTATGCTCCGACCCGACGGATCCGATTTCACATCGGCTCCCGCCGGCCCGATCTGGCCCCATGCCGGCATGGTAGGAGGGCCCTGTGCGGCCCGAAGTCTGCGCGGCGTTGCCCTGCACCGTGGCGCAGCCGGTCCGCTTCGATTTCGGCTCCGTGCCGACGCGGCCCGATCCGACGCGCCTTCAGAGTCGATCCGATGTCCCGGTTGAAAAGCAGCAGTTTCTGCTCATCTTGAACAGGACTCGTTGTCGGTGTCGCCGCTGACTCTGTCCATTTGAGACCGAAGGCCGCCTGCCCAACAGCGGCCGCTGTTGGTTTGGAACAACTTTTGTTGTTGGGCAGTGTGCCTTTTTTCCGTACCCATTTCGGGCGCCCAGATTCCCCAGGGGAGGGGTGCGCGAAGGATCGATGGCGCGAAGGCAGTCGCTCATCGCAGGGCGCCCTGGTCGCGATGCGCGGAAGTCAGGTGGCCGAGAGTCGAGGCGCCGAAACGGGCACCATGCTGGGCTCCAGATGGTGCTCTGGATCTCGGGCCTTCCCCTGGATCCAGGCCACCTTCGAGGAGCTGGGTCGTGGCCGCGCCCCGCCCCAGCCACGCGCAGAGGGGGCTGGGGGGAGGGCGGAAGGGCTCTCGGAAGCACCCCCATGCTGCTCAGGAGGCGCGGGCCGTGCCTGCAGACGTGGGGCACGCGCCTCCTGAGAAGCAGCCTCCCCCCAGGCAGCCCTCCCCCCTCCCCCCGCGCGCCGCCAAGCGCCGCGGCCAGGGGAGCACCTGCCCTGCTCCTGCGCGGCACGACGTTGCCGGAGCCTCCGCCGCCAGGTGCCCGTCCGCCGCCCGGCCCCATGGCGCGGCGCCGCCGGCGGCACAGGCGTCGAAGGGAACAACATAACCGGTACACGCGATTTCTTGGGTCTGCGCTGATTTCTTGGGTGTTCGTCGTCGTCGCCGTCGTCGTCGTCGTCGCCGTCGTCGTCGTCGTCGCCGTCGTCGTCGTCGTCGCCGTCGTCGTCGTCGTCGCCGTCGTCGTCGTCGTCGCCGTCGTCGTCGTCGTCGCCGTCGTCGTCGTCGTCGTCGTGCTGATTTCTTGGGTCTGCGCTGGCCCCCCTGCACCAGAGGGGGTTCAGCGCAGGTCCAAGAAGTCCCTCGGCTTCGCCCCGGCGTGTGCATGTTTCCTCGGCTGGGGCCATCTGCGAGCATTTTGGACCGTCTTGCAAAGAAGTAAGCGCACGAAACCGAAAAATGCACTGGGTATGGACGTCCGAGCGATGGCAAGTGGACGGTCCACGCCGATTTCTGTGGGTCTGCGCTGGCCCCCTGCACCAAGGGGGAGGGGGGCGTGTCCAGCGCATGTCCAGGAAGTCCGCGCGGATCGTCGAATGTTTGCACGCCAGTCGTTGAATGTAAAGGTACTTCTGCACTCTGCAGTCCCAATCTACTTCTAGCCGCATTCCCGCTTCAATGATCGAGTGGTTCTCCCTCTTCCCTCCTCTCCAGGGTGTGGGCCGAGGCCCAATCTATACTTCCGACGCCTTTCTACTTCATGCTTCTACCTACCTCTTCCGACCGAGTGTGCTGTTCTTTCCTCCTCCAAGGCGGACCCCTCGCCGAGGCTGAGGACCGCGGCCCCCGGCGTGTGCGGGCCTCCAGGCCGGCGCGCGCCCGCGCGCGCCGGACCATCCCCCCTCGAAGGCGGGGGCGGCGCCCTCTGGGCGCCGCGCAGCCTGTGCGCGGGCGGCGCGGCCGAGGGGAAAAAGGGCCCCGGTTGCCGTCGATTTCGTTCTCCTCGTCCTCCTCGTCCTCGTCGCCGCTGCTGCCGTCGTCCTCTTCGTCGTTTGCGTCGTCTGCGTCTTCGTCCTCGTCGTCCTCGTCGTCGCCCTCGCCTTCGTCCTCGTCGTCGCCCTCCCCATCGAAGAGTAGAGGACGGCACAGGCATCATTACATAGGGGTCCGCGCGCAGCTTTCTTTGATCGGCGTCGGGTTCCCCTGGCAGCGCTTCTGGCGCCGCCCCTTGCGTCTCCGGCTCCTGGCTGACGGCGACGTCGCCGCCGCCGCTGCCTGTGGCCGACATCCTCGTCGTCCTCCTTTCGAAGACCCTGGGGGCCTTAGCAGGAGACATGCTGTCGCGAATTAGCGCTCGTGCCCGAGAAGGGGCGCACGAGCGGCTCACACGTCCCTTATCGGTCGAATCGCAATTATTCCCCGGCGCACGGTGAGCCTTTGGATTTATGTTGATTTGAGTATGGTTCGGGGATCTCGCCGTGGTCAGTCAGTCATCTTTTGAGAAGAACAATCGACGACACACACATATTTATATATATATGTGTATATATATATATATATATATTCTCGGAGGTCCGCACACGGGCTTCTTGAATCGGCGTGGGGCCCCCCTGGCGGCGCCTTCCGCGCCGCCCCTGGCGCGCTCCGCGTGCAACGGAGGATGTCCATAGCCGCCGGTCTAAGACATCCGTGCAAACTTAGAAATTACGTCCTCATCCTTGTCCTCGTCGCCGCCGCCGTCGTCCCCGTCGTCATCTTCGCATGAACAAACCCCATCCAAACCATCGATTCGATGTTGGCCGCTCCGAGGGATAGAGAGAGAGAGAGAGCGAGAGAAAACACATGAGAGAAAGAGACACAAGTAAACGTATAAGGAAAGAGCGTGAACAACAAAGAGAGAAAGAGAGAGAGAGAGAGAGAGAAAGTGAGAAACATATATATATAGAGAGAGAGAGAGAGAGAGAGAAAGAAAGAAAGAGAGAGAGAGAGAAAAGGATTGGATCGATTCGCGCGGGTGTGCGCGCAGGCTCCTGGCGGAACGCGGCCGGCACGCCCCGCTCCTTGGCAGGAGCGAGTCGGCTAAAAGGGGGCCCATACACGCCCGTCTTGGTCGGACGGCCAGGGGAGGTGTTCGAGGGAAGGGCGGGGCGACCCCCCCCCCACGAGCAAATGGTAGAGCTGTGATTCTGCATCGCAGTGGTCGCCGAGCCCACCAGGTGGTTTAAGCGAGGCCTGCGCCCGTCTTTGGCGCGACGGTACCTCGCTGGAAGTGGGGGCATCCATCCAACACCGTTTCAGGACCCGCACTGGGGAAGGCCAGAGTGGACGGTTGCCAGTCGACGGACGGGCCTCCAAGGGGAGGTTCGCCGGGGCTTCTGGCGAGAAGCGTTTGGACCGCGCGGAGGGCGACTGCGACGGAGGCGGAAACATTCGTCGCCGAAGGGGCCACTGAGGCCTGACGCTGAACGGCGACGTGAAATTCGCAAGCGCGTTGGGGTGCTGTCGCGACGTGCGGCGGACACGGCTAGACAGAGGCTCGACACGCTCGAGCTGGCGTTCGAGCCGCGTCGAGCGGTCCGCCGCAGGTTGAGCCTGGGCCTGCGCGGCTTGTCCCTGACACGCGAGGGGTGCCAGCGCGACCGTCCGGGCGGCACGCCAGGCCCTGCGCGCGACGGGCGCGATTCCCCAGCGCTTGGCCTGCGCTCGGGTGGGCGGGGGAACCCGGAAGGTGCAGGGCGCGCCTGAGGCGGCTGGGGTCTTCGTCGCGAAGGAGGATCATGGGCCATGGGGCGATGCCGTCGCGAAGGAGGACCAGGGGCCGCCGCGGGGTACAGGCTGGGGGTGCCGCGCTGCTGGTGGGAGGAGGGTCGAAGTCACCATATTCGGCCAGTTGTCGGAAGAAGTGGTCGGGGTCGGTTGCCTGCAGCCGAGCGTCGGCGCCAGGATTCCACAGGCGTTGCCCGTGCGGGAGGCTGACGTGTGGTGGCGGCGGTAGAAGGCCGTAGAACATGACAATTTCGTTCCTGCTGACTGGGCGGGGGGGTCGCATGATGCCGCGCTTGGGTACGGGTCCGGAGCCGCCGCGTCGCCAGCTGATCAAGCTGGCTGGGCTGGGTGGTGAGCCGCGATGGCCCCGTCTCCCGAGGCTGAGCCCGGGGGGTTGCGTGACTGGTTTGGCGCGGCTGCGACTGGCGGCTGGTGGTCGTAGTGGACTTGGCCAAGGAAGTGCGGCCCTGGGGTAGACAGGGGGGGGTTCACTGTCACCCTTCGAAGAGATAATGGCCTTTGCTCGCGAGGACATCTCTGTTGTGCTCCCCGGCGCCAGCTGAACCGGGCACGCGGCGTCTTTGACGGTGGAACGGGGGACTGCGCTGCGCTGTCCCCGCGAGGTAGACGCCTGGAGGGGCGCCGGCGGCGGTGCCAGTTGCTGGGTCGGGCGGGCCCCCCCGAATTTGGTGGGCAGAGTCGTTGGACCCGTCGTCGCTAGCGAAGGTGCCTGCGCGCCTGAACCAGCGGCGCCCGTCGAGTGAGAACATGGCCGTGCGGTCGCGCCGCTGTCGCGCAGCGGGCCCGCGTGAGGGCGCCGCTCGTGGGCGCTGCGCATCATGTTATGATGGGAAGGTTGGTGCCGCGGGCTGCGCGAAGGCCCAGGGTGGCCGGCAACGCCCTCGGCAACCTGGCGGGGGGTCGAGGCGGTCCAAGTGGGCATCCATGGCGTCGCGGCGCGCGTCGCTCATTTGCCCCACCTCGTTCCAAGGCTTCCTCGCAGATTTCGTGCACGCGTCGCCTCTGGAGGTCGATCGCACCCCATGGCGGTGGGTCCACGTGCCCAATGAAGGCTGCCACGTGGGGCGCACGGGGGACTTCTTCGACGCGATATAGGGGCCACGTTTGTTTGCCTCCGTCGGGGCCACAAAGGTCTAGGAGCCACCGGGGGGTGATGCGGGCGAGGTAGTCGACCCATCTTGCTCTGGCCTCCAGCGCGCGTTGGATCGGCGGGTCACGTGGCGCGCGGTGGCGTGGTGAGGTGTGCTCTCTGCCGCGGCTGTTGTCACCTTGGGTCCGGGCGTGGGGGCGGTTCATGCATTGCGCCGTCGGGGGCGCTGCGCGCGGTCGGCGTCGGGGCGACGTCGCGGGAGGGCCGCGCATGGGGCGGGCCCTGGGCACGGGGTGGGGCCTAGGGTGGCCCGTCGCTGAGCGGGGCGCCAAGCTGGGGCGCGTTGTCTTCCGGGGGGGCGCCCGCAGCTCCTCCGAGGTCAAGGGGGTCGCATTCGTCGTCGGCTGGCGCGTCGCCGGGGCCGTCGAGGGGCGACGGGAGGCAGTGAAGCGCCAGCTGAGCGTCCTCCTCCGAGATCGGCTGCGCGCGATCGTCGGCCGAGGGCCTTGGCTCGCCAGTTGCGCCCGCCCATGGGTGGGGGCCCATTCGCCCGAGTTCGGCGCTGGCGCGCCCAGCTCGCCGGCGGGGCAAAGGGCGCGCGCGGGCGCGTCTGTTGAAGATGGTGGCCGCGGCGGCGTGGAGGGTCGCAGCCAGCCCAACGCGTTTCTTTGCGCAGAGCTTCCAGCGCGGCGCGGAGCGCCGCCCCCCAAGTGTCTTGTTCATCCGACCTTCTGTTGAAGTATTCACAAGCATTGACCCCCCCCCCCCCTTCACTTCTGCGGCTGGGGACTTTCAACTCGGAAAACATGCGGCGGAAGGGGGCAGCCTGAGGCACTCGCTTCCAGAGGTCTGTTTGCTCTCCCTTGGCCGGGGAGCGGGCGCCGCTGAGCCGTGGCCGAAAGGTGTCGCGCGCCGTCTGGTTGCCCGCGAATCTGTGGACTGGCCTTTCAGAGGTAGACACCGCGCGGAGGGGGGCGAGGGCCTCAGCGCGCCGGGCGAAATGAGCCAGCCCGTGGACTCTGACAGAGCGGTTGAGGCGGCGATTGGCACCGTCTAGGAATCCGAAACTTACCCGCGCCCGCGCGAGCATGGAGTGGGCTGGGTTCGAGCAGGCCCCGCCCGCGGCCGCATGGGCCGCGCGCGCGCCGTCTGGGCCGGAGCATTCTTGCCGCGCGCCCTGCCTGAGGTCCGGCGGGGGTCGCGGGGCCAGCTGAGGGGGCGGGCCCTGGGCCAGGACCTGCCTGCTGCAGACCTAGAAGACGGGGTTCCTTCGACAGCTGGCCGCAGGCCGGCGGCGCGCGCGCGGCGGGAGCTCGGCCCGCCTGCGGTCGGAGACCATGGCGGACGGGGCTCGACGTTGGTGGGCCCAGCACGGGCATCGCCACATGATGTGTTCCTGCGTCTCCCCCCCCTGGTCGCAGCGTCGGCGTGCCAGGGAGTCGTCGGCAGCGCGCGTGGCATTGTGGAGGCGCCGCTGCGCGCGGTCGCCTCTGGCCAGGTAGTCGATGGGGGGCCCCGCTTGCCAGGGGGCGCTCTTGGGTCGGCCCTTGGTGCGCGGGAGTTGCGCGGTGGAGCGCGCGTCGACCCTTTGGGGCACTGGCGCGAGGAGGCCGAGGTTGTGCCGGGAGAGGTTGATTTTGCGCAGGAAAGACCGCCGGGCCAGACAGCCGGGCAGGAGGGCGAACCGCGCAATGGCAGCGCCCCAGCCATCGTACAATATGCCTTTGGCAGGTCAGGTCTAGTCGAGCTGGTCGAGCGCCTGAAAACGTTAGCCGATGGGCCCCCCGCCTTGTCCAGTTTGAACTGCCGGGCGAAGGTCGTCAACGACGCGGCTGAGCCGTTGTCTCGGTTTATCTGTCTGCCGACATTTTGGAGGACCTCCCGCTGCGCGATGGCCGCAAGGTCTGGCGCGCGGCCTGGCGCGTGGAGGTCGAGGGCGTGGCCTGGCGCGCAGGTGGCCACCATGTCCCAGTGGGGGGGCTGCGGGTGCCTGCGGGGCCTGATGGCGACAAGGGGTGCCTTCCTGAAGCCGCCATTGGCGGCCGTCGAGGGCGCCTGCGCGTCGGTGCCCGCTGCGCAGACGCTGGCGACAGGCGACCTGGCCTGCGTCATGCCCTCGGAGAGGGTTTCGACCCGCGGGCAGCGTTGCTGGGCCTCGCGGGCGCGGGCGCCCGCGGGGGCCGACAGGTTGAGCTGGTTAGGGGCGGGGGGGGGGCGGGCGCCGACGCGGCCGCCAACCCGCTTGATGTGGTCGCGCATGCGAAGAGGTTTGCCGCGCAGCGTCAGCTGGTTGACTTGATTCCATAGCGTCTGGCCGATGGCCCATCCGACAACCTTTCCTAGGTGCACCTTCTACCTAGAGGAGTGGCTGAACCGTTCGGTCTGCGTGGGCGCCCCCCCCCCCCCCCCCCGAGCTCCGCAGCCGAGGAGGCAGTGGAGTTGCTGTCGTCAGCGAAGGCGGCGCTGGGCGACCTCGGGTCGTGCTGGCGGGTAGTTCAGACGCACATCGAGAGTTCGATGTCGCCCGATGGCCAGGAACTGCTCGTAGTGGCCCGCTCGTGCGGGCCATGGGCTGCGGGCGTTTTCCCGGCGACGCGCGATGGCGAAATTCCGGACTTTTCTTTTTGATTCATTTTGTCGTTTTCGTTATTTTAACTATTAAATTTCCGCCGCGCGGACTCGTTTGTGGTTTGTTGTGTACCGTCGTTTTTCTTATTACCTAACTTATTGTGAAAGTCCTTCGTTCTTCGCTTTCTATGCTCGCGCTTCGTTGTTGCTTCCTCGTTGGAGTCGCGCGTGCAAGGGCCTGCGGGATCTTCGAAAGATTCGTAAACATATGGTGTCGCGCTTGAACCTGCTGGAACGGGGGCCGCTCGCATAGTAGACGCTGTCAAAGTCTGTGCACGTCCGCGCGAATGGTTTCCGCGGGCGCGACGGTCAATCTTGCGCGCGCCATGCGCGCGAGGTCGTTCCGTCCACGAGGCGAACGAGGCAGGGCAGCGTTGTCCGCAGCCTTTCTTGATGCTTGACGTGCGCAAAATTCGCTCCAACGTTTTTTCTGACAAAGACATCGCGTTCATTCCAATGTTATTACGGCTTGGTTTTCCTCGTAGGCAGTTGTTTGTTCGAGGACTGGGGGGCAATGCCATTGCCGCGCGGGCTCAACCGCGGGCGCAAAACAACGGGTTCGTCATTTCCCCACCCAAGCCGGACCTTTTTCTGCCAGTTCCTCGCGGGGCTCACGATGTCGATGAACACTGAAAACCAATTTTGGAAGTGTTTGGCGAAGCTGCGCCGCGAGAGTCGTCTGCGAAGAAGCAGAGAGAACTCGAGCTCGAACCGCTCTCGCCCGAGGCGCATTCAAGAAGATCGCGGCCGAGGCCGAGGGGTGCACGGCCATCAAAGCCGACGGAGAGCTGGCCAAGAACGACCCTGCGGACGCCCGCAAAGACTTGGCAGAGCCTCGGGGGGCTCTCTTAGCCGCCGCCTCCCCCAGGCTGGCATTGCCGCGCGGGGCAAAGTTCATGGTCCCAATCATCAGGCCAATCCAAAGACGGCGCCTGCACTGTCGCTGGGAGTTCCCCAGCCGCCACTTTGCCGGCGCAAGCCTTGCTGCCGTTCCAGCGCCTTCGGGAGGGGGCCGCTTTTGCGCGGAGATCCAAAAATCGGAGGCGGTGGCCAGGAGATCCCCACAGACGCTGCCAAGTCTGGCTCTGCTCTGCGTCCGTTTTGCTGGCCTGGCATTCCTCGGCCTCGGCCGCGATTTTCTTGGAGGCGCCCTCGGGCGAAAGCGGTGTGAACTCGAGTTGTTGTTGCTTCTTTGCAGGCAACTCTTGCAGTCCGGGCTCGCTGAAAAGCTCCAGGAGTTGGCCTTCTGTTTTCCTCGCCATAGCCCAAGCTCATCTACGCGGAGGGCGCTAAAGTTCGGCCAACATGTCTTGAGCCCGCGCGTGTCCGGGACACGGTGGGAGCGTCACCTCTTCGTTGCACGGGTTCGGTTCGTTTTCGTTTTCCTTTTCGGCCGCCGCAGTCGTCGTTCGCTTTGTTAACGAACTTGCTTTGGGGGGGCTTTTCGTTTTCAGTTTTGTTTTCTCGTGTCGCCGGGAGAGTAGGCCACCCCATGCGAATGTGTCGTCCGTGGTTGCTATTACAGAAATACGCCCGGACGTTGATGGCGTTGTTTTCGGCATATTGCGTTCTTGGCAAGTTGGAGACGCGCGTCTGGAATGAGGTCATCAAAGCATTCTTGGCGGTCCAGTACAGTTCCTGCCAGTGCGAAGGAGAGGATTCGCGCGTGCTCCACTTGGAGAGCGAGGGTGGTGTCGACGTCGCCGATGGTGGCGCGTGTGACGGCCCCAAAGCTGGTAGCGCGGGTCCATTGTGAGCGCCATTTGCCCATGGACCTGTAGGCGGGCCCCTCCCGGGCGCACATCCACGCCGCCATCGCGGACAGGAGCGGTTGGTCGGTTGGGAGTTTCCCGCGCCTTTTACGCAGGCAGGGGTTCGGGACGTGGGGCAGGGGGTCAGGGGCGACGCCCGCGCGCTGCGTGGCTCGTAAGGTGCAAGCGAACAGCCGCAGGAGGCTGTCCGGGAGGGCCTTCGCTTCCTTGCTGGTCCATCCGTCGAGCCCGCCTGGGCACGTCGGGAGGGGCGGCGGCGGACGAAATCGATGAGCACGTCGTCCGCGGGGGTGAAGGGGGCCGCTTGGACGCGCGGGGGGGGTTCAGCGGCGCAGTCCTCCGTGAAGGCGCTCCGCGTGGGCATCGGCTCGTGGTCTCGGGAGTCGCGGGGTCCCAAGTGTCGACCATGAATTTGAGCATCGCCTGGGTATCGGCGATAATCTCGTTGGGGCGCTGGTGCGCCGCGTGTGCGGTGCGCTGAACGTCGGATTCGTCGTCAGCCGAGGCGTGCGAGTCAGTGTCGCGCGACAGGTCGTCTGAGCAGGGTTCGTCTTTCACGTCTGGGTCCGTAACCGTGAAGGGGGTCGTGGGGGTCCCGTTGCGTGAAGTGCGCAGGTAGCGGGTGGCTGAGGTGTTGGCGGTTTTGACCCAGGCGGCTTTGGTGCATCCACGGTCCATCGCGCGCATCTGGGTGATCACTTCCGTGATGCGCGCGGCCTTGTAGCGGTCGCGGTTGCGCCGGATGTCGGCGCGGATTTGGGCCGCGAGGTCAGCAAGTAGTTGCCCTTCCGGGGGGGATACTATCTTGCCGAGGCGGGAAGTGGGCGGCTGCGCCGAGCTGGGTGCCGAGGCGCCCTTTGAGCAGCGTGGCGTTGGTCCACGTGTGGTGGGTATGGGTGGCAAGAGCGGCTCGGGCTGAGCCAGCGGCCCCCGCCGCGGCATGCTGCATCTTTGCCAGGGGCTCCAGTTGGCGCAGGAGTCCTGTTGTTTGAGGGCGACACGGTCCGTCCCGTCACTCCGTCGTCGGGCGCGACTGTGGGGAGGGCGTGCCTGGCGCAGAAGTTGGCGGTGGTGCTGTGCTTGGAGGGCGTATGCCGGCCTGAGGCGGCACCAGTGCCCGCGTCGCGTTGAACGCGCGCGTGGACGGCATGCGCCGCATCGCTTGCGATCCTGAACATGGCGTTGGGATCGTTGGCGCCGTCCACCACCTGCATGGCGTCTGAAGTAAGCACCCTCGATGTCCTCGCCCAGTTTCTGAATTTCTCACCACGGGATATGGCCGGGCAAGGGGAGGTACTGTTTGGTGGGCTTGAGGCGAAGGGCTTCTTGTTGGCCCAAGTCGAGGTTCAACGTGACTCTGAGGCCCAAGTGCTGGGAAATTGTGGGGTCACGCAGGAGGACGAAGTCAGTTACCAGGTGGCGGGCCTGGGGTTTGGCAAGGACGTAATCAATGCGGCAGGTTCCCAGCTCCACGGTGCGTTTGTCCCAGCCTTTGTATTGGTCGAAAGTGTGGTATCGTTCCCCTGGGTACCCTGCGGCGACATTGGTCCAGCCGAGGCGGAGTGGTCGATGTCAATAGTAGCGTCCATGCAAAGAAAGTGAGGCTCTGCACCGACGCGCACAGCGGCGGCAAGGGCCAGTCGGACAAAGGCCTGCGTTGTCTTTGCCCGCCTCGGCGTACAGGGATGCCAGGTAGAAGCCCGTGGTGGTGTGTCCGGGGGCCGCACGCGGGATGGGGCACGGAAAGTAGGCTTCCACCCAGCGTGCCGTCTGCATGAGCTGAGCAAGAGAGAGAGAGGGAGAGAGACACATATAGCGAACTAGAGAGAGACAGAGAGATAGAGGGCGGGGCAGAGCGTGAGAGAGAGAGAGGAAGCGAGAGAGAGAGAGAAAGAGAGAGAGAGAGAAACAATAAAAAAAGCGAGAGAGAGAGAGAGAGAGCGACGATGGGCCGTTGTGTGGTGTTTGTGTGACATGTGTTGTCTATTATGTGGCGTGGGGTGATGCATGGCACTGATACGTGTGTAGTATGATGTATGATGAGTTAGTGTGTTGTGTGTGGCGGCTGTGCTGTATCTGTATATACACATTGTGTGTGTGCGTGTGTGTGTGTGTGTGTGTGCGTGCGTGCGTGCGTGTGTGTGTGTGTCAGTGAGTGAGTGAGTGAGTGAGTGAGTGAGTGAGTGAGTGAGTGTGTGTGTGTGTGTGTGCGGGCGTGCGGGCGTGCGGGCGTGCGTGCGTGCGCGCGTGCGTGCTGTGTGTACCGTGTGTGCCTATTGCCTTTGGTGTGGTTGCTTGTGTCTCCATGTGTATGCGTTGTGTGTGTGTGTGTCTCTTGTTAAGTGTCTACATTTCTGCGGTCGCGTGTGACTTGCACGAGTTGAAGTAGTGGGCGTGCTTGCGATTCGATATATCGTATAATGTTTGGCGCGAGATGGATCGTGGATCAGGGAGTGTCCTCGGCGTAAGTCAACCATATCTCTGTTATGATGTGGTTGGTGAACACATGTGCAAAATGCATCTGCACATTCACATCGCGCTCGTGCGTGTTTTGACCCGGGCGCGCGCGGGTTTGCAAGCGACGCTTTCTCTTGCGTCGCAGGTCAGTTTGTTTCGGCGTCGTGGCGGCTCACGGCTGCCGCCGTGCGCAGGGCCGCTTATGTTTCGATGCCATTTGATTCGCTGGTTGGAGCCGTGGTTCTGATTCGGTTCGATTCGATCCGGCTCGCTTCACCGGCGGGCCAGGGCCGGCCAGAGCCAGGCGCGGCGATCCGATTCCGTTTTTCTCCTCGGGGCGATTCGCCGCCGATCCGATCCTTTCCCGACCCGATCCGGCTTGTCGATGCGATCCAGCTCAGGCTTGCCGTGCGTTTGCGCGGCGGCACGCCATCTGGGCTGCCCGCGCCGAGGGGCCTGCAGCGGAGCCATGGCCTCCGCGGGCTCGCGCGCTGGCCGGCGCGCCGCCCCGCTGCTCGCCGGCGCTGCGCTGCTGGGCGGCGGCGTGGCGCTGGGCGCGCGGGAGCTCAGCCGCGAGGCAGGACGGCGGGCGGAAGTCGGCCATGCGCAGAGGAGGAGGCGGAGGAGGAGGCGGAGGAGGAGGAGGAGGAGGAGGAGGAGGAGGAGGAGGAGGGGGAGGAGCCCCCGCTTGGGAGAGGAGGGGAGGAGGAGGAGGAGGGGGCTGCGGCGGAGGGGGGGAGGCGTCTCAGAAGCACCCCCGTTTCTTATATGAGGCGCGGGCCTCGTCTACGGATGTAGGGCTGGCGCATTGGGGAAGCAGCCTCCTTCTAGGAAGCCTTCCCTCCGCCCCCATAACTAGCCCCCCTGCGCGCGCCGCCACGGAAGCCAGGCGGGAGCCCGCTGCTTGAAGAAAACAGGTGGCGTAAGCGTAACTTTTGGAGGTCCGTGCGGATTTCTTGGGTCGGCGCTGGGCGACCCTGGCGGCGCTTCCCGCGCCGCCACTGGCGCGCTCCGCGCCTCTGGGACGGGTGTCCAGCGCCGATCCGAGAAATCCACGCGGACCTCCGAACGTTTCTGTTTGCACAGTTTTTCTGGTTCTTCGAGCTGCGACGGCGGCGGCGAGCGGCGGCGGCAGCGGCCGCGGCGGCCGCGGCTGGCGGCGGCAGCGAGCGTGGCCACGAGGGCGAACGACGGAGGCGGCGAAGATTCAGGAGGAATAGGCACTGTCACAGCTACCCCTCGCTCGTCGCCACGGCTGGATTCGCCTTGAGATCCTGGACTGAGATCCTGGACAGATGGCGTTTCTGGAAGGCGCCTCGTCGCCGCAGGAGGATCTGCTTTGAGATTCTGGCAAACACGCCTTGGCCATGGCCAGAAACTTGATGGCTGAGCATGTCGCTCAATCCGAGATCGACTACACCCTGGCGCCTGGAGGCCCTAAACAGCAGAATTCAAGGTACATGCAGCAAGCTACGATCCCTCAAATACGGAAGACCAGAAGGGAGACTATACGGGATATCAGACAGTCAGACGGAAAACCAAACGGGATCCCATGCGGGAGACCAAAGGGGCCCGCCTCCTCTGGGAGGTGTGTTTCGGGCAGCGCCCCTGCAGTCTGGCTGTTGTTCCCTCCCCTCTCCTCCCCCCGCTGCAGCATCAAGCTCCAGACTGAACCAGATCAACACTCTGATATCCAGCCTCCATCGGGGAAACAGACTCGAGTACGCTGGAAGTCGGGTTCGCCGACGCTTTATCATGAGCGCGTTCGTGATTTTGACGGCCCATTTTTCGCGGGATGTTTGCAGAGGGAGCTCGCGTCAAATTTCAGATCGGGTCTCGTCATTCTCATGATGGCCCCGTCGGGCCAACACCAGTCCCCCCGACCCGAGTCTTACGTCTCCCCGACTCCCGAGTCCGACTTTCCACACCCCCCCCACTTCGACCACCTGAGGGCTCTGGCCCCCGTCCGCGCCGCCCTCTCGCGGCCGGCGGACACCGCGCGCTCCGCTCCCCCGCCACATAGCAGCGGGGCGAGCTCCCCGCAGGGGCCCCCAGGAGATAGCTGTTAGTTGTTTCATCCTCTGGCGCGTAGCGGTCACGGTAACGATGGTGCGTCGGTCAGCGGAGGAACAGGTGCCCATGCCGCTAGATTTCTTTTGGTTTTCCCTTTTGGGGCGTCCTCGGAGGCCTTCGTCGCCACCGCTGGATTCGCCTCGAAAGTCTGGTCAGAACGCACCCCGGGAGAGGTCAGGGGAGCAGCCGTATCAGTCAGTCGCAGCGCACTTCCGCACCGACGTGCCCCACCCCGCCAAAGTTACTGCTACCAGAAATGTTATAACCATATTTAGGAGTGGTTGCCTCCATTGCTGAGCGGTATGATGACAAAGCCCGCCGCCGTCACGTACGTGGATGAATGGGCCCGCCAGTGGACTACCCGCAGCCGAGCGGGAGAGGGCGATCGTCTTCGGGTTTTTGGAGGCTATCTTCTTTGTTCTCACCGCCGCGTTCGTCTTCCTCGCCCCCGTGTTGGGGGGACTCTTCGCCTCGCGCGGCCTACTGTGCCCCCTCCGAGGAGCAGCTCCCCTGGTGCGGATTCCAGAGCTCCTGTTCACCCATTTCTTAGAGCTCCCATGTATCACATGTTGGCGCTTCGAGGGAGAAGCACGAGGGATCTTGTCGACGCTAGTCGTTGCCATGGTCAAAGCCAGCCGTCGCCGACTCGCGAGGATGATCCACGATCGACGATGGCAAAAAATGGACGATGGCCAAGATCGGCACCGACGTTTCCGCGTTCAATCTTAACCATGGTCCTCGTTTCACTTCCCTCTAGCCGCTCCAGTTGCCGAATCCCTTTCAGCTCTCCGAGCGTTCGTGGGCTATCCCCGGTCACTCTCTGGCACTGGGCGATTCTACCTATGCCGTCCCGTTCCGCTTTGCGCCTGCCTCGCCCCTTCTCCGCCGACAGTTGCCGGCGCCGTGCAGAGTCGTGGCGTTGCACCTGCAGGCGTGGGGCGGCCTGGGGTTCATGGGGGCGCTGAGGATGGGCAGGGTGTGCGGAAAGGAGAGCGGCGTTTTCTTTTGGAGCTCAGGCCTCCTAAGTTGGGGTCCGATGCATTGCCGATGCGGCTCGATTTGGAGTCCGATGTTCTCCACGCCGACGTCGCCGATGCATCGGCGATGCATCGGCGATGTTGCGCGATCCTCCAGCCGCATCTACTCTGACCCCATCTGGGAGGCCCTTTTCAGTGAAGATTTTTGGAAGAGGCACTGTCGGCGGCGAGCCCAGAAGGGGATTGAGAGGGGGACTGCCTTCTCAGAAAACGGCGGGGCTTCTCAGGAGAAGCCTTGTGAGACTTCTCCGAAGCCACGCACGGCTTCTCAGAAGGTGCGAGATGCTCTGAGAAGCGCCGCTGCCGTCTGAGAAGGCCTGCCCCTCTCATTTCCCTTTCCCAGGGGCGCGCCGCCTGATAAAGAACGAGGCAGGGCGAGGCAGAATCGTCATTGAGAGCAGGGATCGCGGCATGCCAGTCGAGTCGGCCTGACTCTTCGGACCGGGGCATTGGCAGGGGCGACGGGGCGTATCGGGGGCCCCCATGCTTAGAACACTCAGAGCTTCTTGTGAACATAGTTTGGACTTTTGTGGGGTCTTTGATGAGCCGTCTTGGGCCAGTCATGCAGCATCTTTCAGCCGTCTGTCAGAGGAGGAACAGGTATCTATACCGTTACCATTCTTTCGTTTTCGTCCATGTGGGCCTCCTGGAGGAAGGCCCTCGTTGCCACGGCTGGAGTCGCCTCACAATCCTGATCAGAACGCATCTTGGGAGAGGTCCGTAGAGTAGCGGTATTGGTACATTAGTGTTTCCCCGGTCTAGGATTGTCGTGGCTTTCTTTGGGGCAGGCTTGGGGTGGTGAGAGAGGCTCGGGATATCAAAGCACACACAAGGCTACGGTAGCCTTGTGAGTGTGTGTTTTGATGTCCTCACGCGTCAGAGGTAGCCTGGCTACCTCTGACGCGTGGGGAAGCAATGACGGGGGGGGCGACCCTAGAAAACTATGCAATTTTTACAGACAGTCGAGGAAGCACAAACATGGACTGCGGCGTGTGTGTTAGCGGCGGGCCCCGTTCCCATGCAAACCCGACGCGCTCCGTCGCCGAGTGAGGCGGTGTCGGCTCCACGTTTCGAAAAGTATTGTCCCCGATCCTTGGATCTGGTGCCCATGCACCACACCAGATCCATGGATCCGTAATCCATATTAGCACGTGACTGAAGCAGACAGCCAACAGTCATTATCGCATACCCCCATGTGGGCCACATAACGAACATCGGAGTCGATTGCACGGATATCACGCTCGCGCGTTGCCCGCGCAGGGTCGCGCGCAAGTGCTCTCGTCTACACGCGGTGCTCCGCACCAGAGGATTGCGTAAGCCAACGGGTAAGATCGCCATGCCCTCTTCCCCCTTCGTTTAGGTACGATCGGAATCTGTACAGGCAGCTCAGGAGTTAAGAACTTGACCTGCTCCGGCTCGGCATTGGTTTTTCCTTGAGAGATTTCGTGGGCCTTGGACCACCGCTGTTAGCGCAACATTTGATGGTCCTATGCGTCGCGTTTTGCGCCGGCAGCGCCCAATGGCTTCGGGCGCCAGATGAGCACCCTGGCGTCCTTCACCCAGCGCCTCACGAGGTTGCGATGTTGATCTCGCAGGTTAACCGAAGCCGCTTCTGCCTCGCCGTTGCCCCAAGGGCGCGCCTCGTCCGCCTGGCCGCTGAGGTCTGCGGTCTCTCCCGCTGGAATTTGCATCTTCCATTGCGCTGGTCGCCCTGGAGGCTGGGCCCTGCAACTGCCTAAGACCCGTGCGCGAGGGGTCTGACCAGGGCCGACGAGGCGCTATGTTAAGACTTCGCGCGCCAACAGAGGCAATACCCTGGACGCACTGGGCCACAATGGCCCCGCGAAGGCCAAGCGGAGACCGGCGATGTTGGATCTTGTTTGTTTTTAAGTGTTTCGAGCAACGACCACTTCTGCAAGGGGCCAAGGCGCATAACGACGAGTACTGGGAGTAATCTCTGCTCCCCCTTTCGGCAGAACACAAGCGTTGCGTTGGGCCCCCGGTCTCCCGCGGGCAACCCCGCCCAGTGCTGTTGCCAGGAGGGCATGGGCGCTGCCCGTCGCAGTGGAGCCTCGGACACTGGATGAAGGGAAGGTGGGGGAAGGAAACTTCGTGTGACGTAAGTTGCCCTTGTAGTCGTATGGGTTTGATGTGGTGTGTTCTGGCGCATTGCGCGGGTTTGGTGCAAGTGCGTTCGTGGTTCCACCCCGTTTCTTCCTTTCCCGAATTGCCCGACGCTTCGCGACAGCGCTTTCTGGGGAGGTTCGGTCGCCTCTTCACAGAAGTCTGTGAGGAATGTCAAGGCGGCAGGCCACAACGAAAATTATGTTGTGGCCCCCGTCGGCGACAAAATCCAAAGGCGACCAGCGCCAGCAACAATATAATCTTTTCCTCAAGAGCATGGAGACGAATACCAACGGCAGAGGCTGCCCAATGTGAGCAGGACCCGTTGTTGGTGTCGCCGCGGACGTTGTCCATTTCAGACATAATGTCGCTTGCCTAACAGCGACCGCTGTTGCTCCTGGACAACATGTATTGTTAGCGTCGTGCCCATGTGCTCCGTACCCATATCGGGCGCGTTCACCTTTTGCCCTTCGCCACGACCCTTCCGCTCCAACCCCATCCATCCCAGCCCTCACCCCAAGTAGTTTCGAGCGCTTGAAGCAGCTTGATCATGGCCGTCAGACGCCCTGTGTTTCAGATCGTGCTTTCGGTCTACGCAACAACCCACGTTTTCATATTTTCCAATCGTATGTAGCATGCCAAGGGCGAAGCCAACCATTATACGTACTACATGGTTACAGTGTTCCCAACCTTCCTGTGGTGTTGGGCCCACGCTTTGAAAAGAGATTCCCGCGAGTCCTCCTCCTCATCCTCCCCCCCTCGTCGTCCACCTCGTCGTCGTCCCCCTCCTCCTCCTGCTCCTCCTTCTCCTCCTCCTCTTCGTCCTCCTGCTCCTCATCCACCACCGCCTCCTCGTCATCCTCCTCCTCCTCTTCCTCTTTCTCTTCGTTTCCTCCTCCACTTTTCCCCTTTCCGTCGCCCCCCGCAATTCACCCCTCACACGTTTCGTGGCCCCATGGGAAGCCCCACAGAGTGCCCAAATGCCAGCGGCCGCGTGCGGTCACCGCGCCCATGTTGGCGCGCCCGTTATGCATTTCGTGGCGTCATCGGGAGCATCACCAACAGCCCCAATGCCACCGCTCGCATGCGATCACCGCGCCCAATGTGGCACACCCTTCACACGCTTCGCGGCTCCATAGTGGGCTTCACCGAAAGCCCAGGCGCCGGCGCTCGCATGCGGCCACCGTTCCCATGTTTGGCACACCCTTCACACGTTTCGCGGCCCCGTAGGGAACTACATTGAATGCCCAGATGCCAGCGCTCGCGTGCTCCCACCGTGCCCATTTTGGCACACCATTCACACGCGTCGTGGCGCCATGGTGAGCTTCACAGAAGGCCACATGCCAGCGTCCACATGCGGCCACCACACCCATTTTTGGCAACCGTCACATGTTCCATGGCCCCATGAGGAGCCCCACCGAAGGCCCAAATCCCAAATGCCAGCGTTCGCATGCGGCCGTCGCGCCCATGTTGGCACATGTCCCACACAAGAGGTAGCCTCACGGGGCGTTTCACCGAAGGTGCCCAGGTGCCAGAGTTCGCCTACGGTCACCGCGCCAATGGTGGCGCACCCCCGACACGTTTCGTGGTGTCATTGGGGAGCTCCGCCGAAAGCCGACGTGCCAGCGCTTGCACGCGCCCACTGCACCCATTTTTGCCGCACCCGCCGCACGTTTCGCGCCCCCCATCGAAGGCCCAAATGCCAGCGCTCGCACGCGCCCATCGCGCCCATCGGCCAGAATTGCTTGCGCTCGTGCGCCCGCCGCGTTCATTTTGGCGCGCCCTTCGCATGCTTCGCGGCCCCGCATGGAGGTCCCCCACATGCGGTGCATGCACCGGATGCGGTGCATGTCAGATGCGGCTCATTTTTTTGTTGCCCGGATGCCCGGCGATCCGAGCCCGCACAGCGGTCCGGGAGGCTGCAAAGGGGGCGATGTAAACTGTCGAACTGTCGAACCGGTCGGGCAACAGTGCCGTCCCCCAAAAATGATAGTCGGAGTGGTGTGGGTAATGTAAATTGTGGGGCACCAGTGATTGCGTTCTGCAGCGCGGCGGCACAGTTCGTTTGGTCACATAGCCCTTGCAGTTATCCGTGGCCGTAGTGACGTAGTGGTTCGAAACATTTGCGTGACAGCGAAGGCGCTGACGACGTGTCTGAGGTCATCGGTCTGCGCCGTTCACTGCGGGCGCTTTCTCCGCAGACGTGAGCGAGGTTCCTGAGACCAGCCAGGAGGCATATCTGAAGCCTTGCGAGGGGATGTCTACCACCCAAAAGTGGGGTTGCGGCCCAGCGTCGCTGATGGCGCGGACATCCAAGCGGAGCGCCTCGACGGCGACAGCGCGGTCATGATGCAGGAGCGTTCAATCCGCTGGTGCGCAACATCTCCGACAAGGGCCAGCGGGCGCTCATTCTCCGACGCTAGCTGGGCTTCGCGGCGGGCTTCGTCTTCGCGCTCGCCGCCGCGAGCTTCGCAACGTCGCGGCCGGCGGCGGGAACCTCGAAGGAGTCGCGCGTCGGGGGGGCGGTTCTCGCGGACGCGCATAACAAGATAGCGCTGGCTGCCAGCAGCGACTTCAAGATCAGCGACGCGGCGCGATGGCGCAGCGTGCCATTGATGGTGCGCTCTGCATCTCGAGACGCCTGCCAGAAGCTGATGATCCGCGCTGAATAGCGACTGCCCCAACGAAGCATAGGCACGCGTTGGCCCCGCGACTGCGCGACGCGCACCCCATGCTCTTGACCAGGGTTGTCGTGTTCAGCGACGCAGGA